GAGTCGCTCAACCATCTGCCACGCTTCTTGATGTCCACGAGGCTCCTTGCCTTGGTCATTCTGTCGTGCGAAGGCCCTGAGTGCCTCAACTGATAAAGCACACAATGTTTGCTCGACAACTGCAAGCCGACAAGAGCCTTTTGCCAAGCGTCTTTGAGCTGCCGATACTCTATTGGAAACAACTTTTGTGCCTTGTGGCTCTCCAGGTGTCTGCGGAGCAGCAAGCCCATCCATGGTGTCTCCCTTCCGTCCAGGACTATTGTTTCGTCTGAAAGCCCCATCTTCGAGCTGGCGCCCCTTTCGGAGGGATTGAGGTTTAGGCAAAACACTGGATGCTGCACCGTAGGCTCCACCAGATCGCTCCGATGGAGGCTGATTGCCTCGCCCGGTCTGAGGTAGGCGTCGAACATCAGCAACACCAGAAGCCCTTCGTTGATCTGTTGTCTTCCCAGCATGAAATTCACGATTGCGGCCACCAGCTCCCAAGGTATTGGAGGCCTTGTGGCCCCTGGGTCCAACCTGTTCCATCCTTGCAAGCATCTGCGGGAGCGTGGGAGGCTCCCCTTTTGGGTGCAGTCGGGGACGCTGTCCACCACTGCTGCCAGGGTTTTTGTGGCTTCCCCTATGTCTTCCCCATCTTCGAACATCTCGTTGAGATAGGCGCTCAATGCATTGTCCAAGTTCTTTTGACCTCGGAGAGAGATCTGCTCCAGCTTGGCAAATGCCTTGAAACGAGCCATGCGAATCCTGTAGTCCGAGGCCACCTCCTCTGAAACTGCATTCATCTCCAGAAAAGACTGACCCTGAAAACGAGGAATCTGGCTCACTGTCTCCTTGTATTTCTGTCGCTTGTCTGCCCTTTCTTCTCTGTTGTTTCCCTGCAACTGATTGCGCAGGGACTGTCTGTTGCTCCAACCCACTTGCACTGGTTTCCTCTTTTGGCCAGTGCTCTGAGGTTTGCTTGCTGGAAGAAGTTTTCCCTGTCCTGAGATGTTCCCAGTACCGAGAGCCTTCATCGGCGATATTCAGTTCACTTGGGATCCAGCGGCAAGTCAGGCTAGAGCCTGTGCAAATGAGAAGGCATGCTATGCGTCTACATACCCTCAACATTTGAGGGGCAGAGCTTCTACCCTTGTCAACAGCCAAAACCATGCCAAGATTATCTGCCAAATGAACATGGTGTTGATGAAAATGACGAATGCTCCGAAATTTATGTCGAAGTGTTGCAACAATGCCTCTTCCCTCAAGCAATGTGATATGTTCCTTGTAAACCATGCGTTGAGAGAACCGCAAAGACCAGTCACTGTTTTCCAACAAATTTTTGGGCACCTCGGGGAATTGGTTGTCCAGCTCAAATGGGTCATCCATGACATGTCCAACCGGTTTCACGCTAGCAATGTCCGAAAACGGGTCCAAAACCCCTAAAGCGTTCTGCCGAGGTCGATTCACCGGATTGCGGCCCTTGAAGCGCCAACGTTCCCTGTAGCTACCGATAGTTCTGACTGACTGCTCATCTGCTAATCTAGTACACACTGCAATCCCCGACAACGAAGCGTCCGAAGCTGTCAACAATGCACTAGTCTGTTTTCTCAGGTCCGTTGCACAGAGAGGCAAGAGTTCGCCAATCCATCTGGCTTCAACTGCCGCACTGCACCACAACCTGCATCGACCATTTGCTTGTTGCACGAAAGCATACAAATGATGTGGAATGCTCAACAACTCTCTCCTCAGCATCATGAAATGTACTGCATGTCCCAACAACCTCTGCACAGCTCTTCCCGTGACTCGGGGCCTGCGGGAGAGCCATTTGAAGGCCAGCTGAACTCGATGAAGTCGTTCTGGAATAGGTGTCACCTGGCCAACTGCTCCATCGATCATGTAACCCAATGATTGTGAGGTGTTGTTTGCATCCATCTCTTCATGTACTGTCAGTCCGACTTGTCTCAACCTTGCAACTGCTCTGTCTTTCGCTCTTTGCACTGCCTCTGCATTGATGCCACAGACGTCGGCATAGGGCAGCAGAAGTACCTCGCCATTGCTGAGGCTTGGCGCTGGTTTTCCATCCACCAAAACTCTATCACAAGATACCCCAGCCCCCAATTGCGATTGATGCTGATGCACCCTTTGTGACAGCCACATCGCCCACGACCACCCCATGGGCACCACTCGTAGCATTGGATGCACCCAGTCGTCCGTGTTCAAGGATCCACCGAGTTCTGCACTCACCTTCCAATGTCGGAGTAGGGCACCAGGGATAGGTGGCATGCTAAACAATGCTCTGAGATCTACCGGCAACTGCAAGCTGTAAAAGTAGTCCTTAATGTCGGACTGTGCAACAAACAACTGTTCCCCGTCGGGGATCCTGATCTGAGACCAAGAAGCTCCTGTTCCGGCTGCCAACACAGGCGGCTTTCTGAACATCCTGTTTGTTTCTCTGCAATCCAAAATCAAACGAAGCTTTCCCGATTTCTTGGCCACAAAGAAGGGGGTTACCAAGCCCTGAGGTCTATTTGTGAAATCTATCATGCCAGCTTCAAACAGATCATGCACAAAGTTGCAATACAAACCAATGTCATCCCTGAGAAGGGGGTCCATATAAGTTTGAATTGGCTTATTTTCTTCCATCATTGCCCCAATACCTTCCTCGTCCAACAACATGCAGCGATGAGGGTCCCTGACCTAGAGAGCCAGGAGTGCTACATGTTGAGCCTTTGGCAGTGTTTTAAGGCTCATCTTGGCGATGTAAAACTGAAGGCTTAAAGCTTAAGCCTTTGAGTCAAATGGTCGTGGGCAGCAGAAAAGGTTTGGCGCCCAAACGCTGAAAGTTGCAAACTATAGGCTTAAGTTTGGCGCCCAAACGCTGAAAGTTGCAAACTGTAGGCTTAAGTTTGGCGCCCAAACGCTGAAAGTTGCAAAGTATAGTCTGTCTGGGCTGGAAGTTTGGTGCTCAAACGCTGAAAGTTGCAAAGTACAGCCGGTCTGCAGGCTTTAAGGTTTGGTGCTCAAACGCTGAAAGTTGCAAAGCGGCAACCCAGACCTTGAACCCACAGTATCTCTTCTATTGAAGAGATACTGTTCTATAATAGAATATATTTATATATGTGTGTCATGTGTGTGTTTCTGGGGGTTTGGTCTTGTTCTGTTTTTTTCAGAGGTTTGAAGTGGACCCTGCGCGTGCCCGCCGCTTCTCTGACCATCTAGTGACTAGACGCGGTGGACGCAAGTTTGGAGAAGCCATGTTTGAACCCCACTTCACGTGGCCACAACAACTAAATGTGGGGTTTTTAGTCTCAACATGCAACCCCACTTCACACTTTGCCCAAAAACTAGATCACTTGCCATCATTCCCGCCGATTCCCGTTCCATCCATGGCTGCCGGTTTCTTCTGCCGAGTGCGGATGCTCAGATTAATCTGAGCGCTTGTGCACAAACAGTTCCAAAAGAGCCCTATACCTGCTAAGGGTGACGGACTCTAAAGTGTTTGGATGTGCTCTTGAAGCAATCCTTCCCACTTGTTGCATTAGATCCTCGTCTTGGTAGTTGTGATCGAACCTGAGGTGTGTTCAGGTCAGAAAGGTTTTTGAGGTGAACCAGTGTGAATCCAACTCATAAACAACAAAACTTTGGAAACAAATCTTATTTGAGAAACCTGGGATTGCGCTTGGTCTCTTCCACGTATATGGTCAGCTCCAGCATGGAGTGGAACTTGGGAATGACTTTAAAGGTTCGCCGCCCGTCTGACCGCTTTCGGTCGTTGCTAGCAAGACGTTGGTAGGCCACCAAACCATCCCGTGCTGCTTGGACCATTTTACGAGCATCATCATTGCTCAGAAAGGGACCGTGTGTATCCATCAAAAACTGGAAGTGAGTAAAATGGTACATGGTCTGAGCTCGGCGGTCTCCTCCCCTTGTGTGTTGTTCACCTCTTAGGTAATCCAAGCACCAATACAACATTGATTTGACCACGGCTGCCTTAAATATGGATCCCAACTCTGGATATGTGCTCCATGTGTCCTTCCCGAACCTTGCCAACGAAAACCTGTGTGAACATGCAGTCGTGTATGCGGCTCGCTCTTTGCACCACGTTTTGTAGTACTTGTAAACTTCTTGGGAAAGACGTTGGTCCATCTCCTTGAGGGTGATTCCTTCGTACTTGGATTCCAGCGTGTCGCATACCAAGCTGGCGATCAGGACACATGCCACTCCTTGATGGTACACATGGAGGACGTCCTGGGATCCGGGATCCGGTGAGATTGCGCAGGTCCACCCATGGGTGTCATCCTTCTTTAGTTAACCAAAACAAAAAACAAAACAAAATATTTCTTCGAGACAAGGCTCTTCTAGGTTTCTTTCCTTACACCACCCGGGAACAGATTCCCATGAGGATTGCTTGTTTCCCTGAAGGATGCGATACTCTGCATGGGTGAACCGCTTGCTCATGCACGCGGCATTCATCCTAAAGTCTCCATAAGTGAACTGGGGCTCACGTGATGCCATGCAATGCTCGCAAATGTATTTTGCATTGTAGAAGCGTGTACTCTTGTGGATTACTTGTCGGGCTTCCCAGTCACCCTTGAAGGCAGCGAAACAAAGCCTCCACCCTCCGGCAAATGGCAAACCAGCCTTTGCTGCTTGCAGCGAACTTGTGTCAAAGCGCTCGCCATTGACATTTGTCATGGGGTACTTTCCAGTCATAAGGGTTCTGACAACGTACCCTATAGTGTGACCAACTTTGTCATGGGACTTGTTCTTCACGATCATTTGCTCACGAAGGAGCAAGAAGACTAGCTTTGTTTCCAAAGAGCCTCCTTTCCTGCATGCACTTGCGTAAGAGTAAACCCACGCTTTCTGATGCTTATATATTTTCACGCCGTCCGCATGGAAGAACAAAGGTACAGTCATCCGAAAGTCACCCTCCTGAAGGTCTAGCTGGTCAAAGAAGCTTAGATTGACACAATGTCGCCAGTACTCTTCCACGCGGTCACTGGCTTCAGAAGGCTGGTCTGAGACCCACCTGAGAAACTGACCAGATTCCCATAGTGCAGCTAAAACATCCCAAGGCCACAAAACAGCGACTGGGTAATCCTGCTCGATCTCTTCACCCTCGACGTTTGAAACATTCATGGGGACCATAATTTGGCTCGGCTGAATAGCGCAAAGATCTTTACACCACCTGTGGTTAACGAGCAATGTTGGCATCAACATTCAAAACTGTTTGAGGGCATTTGAGTAAACAGTTGCAACCATGAAACACCTTTTGGCAAAACACACGCCTGGAGAAACATCGCTCTTCGTGACCCCCGTTTCCCCACTTGGTGAGGAGTCTTGCCAAGGGGCAATCTACACCGTCCTCAATCAATCGCGCCGCGTCTCGGCAACCATCTCTCGCGGATGTGGCCTGGGATGTTTGGCGGTGGCTCCAACCAAACCAAGCGTTGAAAGGGATGGGACTGATGAGATGTCTTTTGTTGCCAAGGTTGATGAGATGCTTTTGAAACGGTTGCTCATACTTGTTTGGGGCCCTGACTCCACCACAGATCTTCTTCAAGATTCGAAGAGCCGAGTGGGAGGAGGCCTTCACGATGTCATGACCTCATAGGTCCAAACACGCATACTCCAAACACACATACTTATAGAGGTGATGCCACCAAAAGAACTTCGAAGAACAAACACTTGCAAGGTTAAGAGGATTGGTGCACACACTCGGTTCGGCCAAGGTGCCTGCACTGGAATCTCGCTGCTTCGGAGGAGACCTGGATCGTGATGTCGATGTGGGCCTGCGTGGTTTCAGACCAATAGTGGATTTCTTTTGAAAGTCAGCTGATATGGATAGTTGAACTTGAGTGGATGGACTCAATATTTTCTCAATGCCTTTGATGCTCTTTGATGCCATTGCAGGTAATCCCGCAAGAGTTTAATTGGATTTCTCCAATCTGTCAACTTGTTGAATGCGACCGTGCAGCACCCCGCTACAACTCATTGGAAATTGTAAGCCGTTGGAAGTCCATGTTCGACCTATGTTGCTGACTTGGTCCAGCACTCAACCCCCCAAAAAAATGGGCCCTGGCTTTGATGCGCTCTAAGGCCTTCAAGCTTCAACGAAGTGAAACTAAGCAGTAGTGGGACTCTTGCCCGACACACGCTCTGCAGCACCAGCTTGGTCTTTCTTTTCTTCCTTTTCCTTTTTGGACGTTTTCTGTTTCGCTGGTTTCTCTGAAGCCCTGATCAGGGCTTTGGCCAAATCAATCCGGTCCTTCGCCACCTTGGAATCTTCTTCCACCTGCCCATGCTTTTAGATGCACGCATAATGAAATGGTAACCTTTACATGCTTTAGATGCACGCAAAATGAAATGGTAATGCTATGACGAGAGATTTCGCAAACACTTCACCTGATCTTCCACATCACGATAGTATTTGCTTTTGTTATACTTCTTGGAAATCCGTGACTGCAGAACATCGGCCCAATGTTGCAGCTTGACTGCACACGCTTTCAGCTGCGTAATGAGATCGGTGGACAGCGCCAGTGGACGAAGCTTGAAGGCGTGATCCCTTATGGCAGTGTCGCGAATGTTCCCTTTCCCCCCATGAACGATGAACGCTAAAGTTAGCACACCATGCTGCCCAGCTACCTGCAGGCGTTGACATCTCTCAAGACCCGCTGCAATAACGATTGAGCTTTGGCGATGGGCTGTTCAGCCTCAACCTGATGCAAACGAAACACAAGTGCTGTGTAGCCTCAACCTGATCCATGACAGATAATAGATACTGATAGATAGGAAAACTGTGGCCTTCTTGGCATCATCTTTCTTTGTCTTGTCTGGTTTATCTTTCTTGTTCTTTCCCCCTAGCTTCGCACCCCCAACTGCATCAGCCAGAGACTTCATACCGCTTGATCCAGCCATCTCACCAAGGGATAGGTGTTGCTTCCCATCAAGGCACCCGCCAGCCTGAGTTAGACCATATGTGATGGTATGCTCAATGGGGTTGTTTCAAGTGTTGTTCTGATTCTATTTCAATACAGGTGATCAATCATGAATAATCATGACAAGTAGCCTCAACGAAGGCCCGAACGCCGTCGGCGTCCAGGGTTCCGGTGAGTTCAATCTGGGTCACTCGACGGAGCTCTTTGATGTCATCGATGTTGAATTCCACCATGACGAAGAACAAGTGCTCGTCCTCCCCTGGAAACTCTGGGTCTGGTATGGTCCTTATACGGTGCACCGCGTGAGGACGCATATGGATTGGACACGCTGGAAGCTGTGGATTGGAAGAGGCAGGAAAATGGGAACAGAGTGGTGTTGGGGCTTTGGGCATCCAGAGGTACATTTGTTGTGGGTGGTACCCGGAACATATGTGTTCACCGAGTCTCAATCCCAACTGCCGCTTTCTAGTCATGATCTTTTCAGCTTTGCGTTGCCCATGGTTCTTGATGAGCCACTGATCGTTTCGAAAGCCATACCTCACCTGAGTTCGCTGGCTCTCCATCAGCCGGGCCTCAAACCTGGCTTCCACCTGTTTGAAGTCCTTGTCGGAATTCAAGAAGTCCAGGAATAGCTGGCGTCGAGTTTCCTGCGGTTTGAAATAAGAGCAAGTTGAATTGGGAATTGATAGGTTGAACTCTATGATCGAAGAACCTTGATAGCCAGAATTTGGGAATGTTAGGTTATAATGTTTTCAACCCCATGCAGTCCTGACTCTTACAAGCTGCAACGATCTTAGCAGGACACCGTCGGCTATTCTTCAGCCAGCGCTGAAACTGCTGCCACTCTGCCCGGTTTGTAGTGCTATTCTTTGATAGCGACTCCTCTGCCCCCTTCAAAGGCTTCTCGCTGTCCTCGCATTCATTCTTTTTCTTTTCTTCTTTTCGCTTGGCCTTCTCCTCTTTCTTGCTGTGCTTCTTCCCTTTTTTCTTCTTCTTCTTCATATCCTTCCCCTTCCCTTTCGAGTCCTCCTCCTGCTCCTCCTCCTCCGCATCTGAACCATCTGAATCATCATGTTTTCTTTTCTTTCCCTTTGTGCTCTCTTCTGATTCTGATTCACTGCTACCTTCCTCTCCTTCTTCTTCATCCTCATTCTCCTCTTCTTCACTTTCATCTTCTTTGTCGCTTCCATCTTCGCCAGTACTGCTGCTCTCATCATCGCTGTCGTCACAGCTTTCTTCTTTGCCATCATCTTTCTCATGCCCCGTTGTCTTCTTCAAGATGCTCTTGGGAGCTGGCTCATCAGCTGGCGATTCACTAGCGCTTTCCGAATCAGAGCCTTCTTCTTCTTCTTCAGTCTCACTTGAGTCCACCTCCTCCTCTTCTTCTTTCGTGTCACCTTTCTTGTCCCTGTTCTTTTCAGCATTCTTCTTCTCGCTCTTGCTTTCCTCCTTCTTGCTGCTCTTCTGTTCATCCTTCTCGCTCTTGCTTTCCTTCTTATCACTCTTCTTTTCATCCTTATCGTTCTTGCCTTCCTTCTTATCACTCTTCTTTTCATCCTTCTGTTCGATCTTCTTTTCTTTCTTCTTCTCGCTCTTCCTTTCTTCCTTCTTCTCGCTGGTCTCTTCACCCTTCTTCTCCTCATTCTTCCCACTCTTCTTTTCATCCTTCTTCTCGCTCTCCTTCATATCGCTTTTCTTTACCTTCTGATCCTTCTTGCAATCCTTCTTTTCTTCTTCATTCTTTGCCTTCTTATCGCTCTTCTTTGCCTTCTTCTTGCTTTCCTTTCCCTGCTTTTTCTTTTGAGGCTCCAGTGGAACCTCACCGGACTCCTCGCTGGCCTCGGTCGACTCCATGTCATCACTGTCGATGCTGGGAATCACTGGTTCCTCTGGCACATCACCCTCAGGTTTTTGTTTCTTCTTGGAGCTTTGACTTGTCGTAGGCAGGGCATGTTTTCTTTTGTCCTCACCCTTGTCTGCCTTGCCATCTTTGTCCTTATTCTTCTTCCCTTTGCTCTTACTCGTCTTGCTTTTCTTCTGGCTTTCTGTCTCCTCCCGGGTTGCATGGACTCGGTATCTATCCCACCACTGTCTCATTCTTTTTAGTGGCAACCTGCGTTTTTTCAGCTTCCCAGAAACCCCTGGCGCTTTTGGATAGAGCCCTGGACATTCATACTTCTTCCAATACTCAGCGAACATGTTTGGTTTCTCCTCTGAACTTGAAGCACCCTCACTGGGCCCCTTTTGGCCAGGCTTGTCCTGGATGCATGGGGTTGGAGTCGACTAACAAAGCAAACGGATGACTGAGCTATATATATTGGGAGTGACAGCAACAAAACACAAAGTGGGTCCTTAAGGGCAAGTAGAATGGATTCTGCTTCACGAAGATCGGGCGCTTTGTTCTCAGGCACGATGTCATGAACTCTGTTTTCTCCAAAGGAAATCCTTTGCCTGACATGGTCCTTCTCTACAGACTTGCACCGGGGGGATGCTTTCTTGACCCGGGGCGGAGGGGTGACATATGCTTCCCCCTGTTTGGATGCCTTCTTCAACGCTTTCGCGTTGGGAGATCTACCTCTCGGCGCCGATTTGCCGCGATGCCTCCTGAACACTTCTTCAGGCATTGCGGCGCCCAAAGCACAGCTAGCTAGGCACTCCCACTACAAATGCACCGCGCTTGATTCAGCATATATATAGACGACCCTTGTTTTGTACGAAGCGGGATCAAAAACAATGAAGTTGAGCACACACAATTCGTGTGAATCAATCATCAAATACTTTTCATCAGCTGGCGAATGTGCACACTCGCAAGCCCTCAATTAGGTTTGGGCCAGTTAATTTGTTCTGAATTGGCTAAACCTAATGAACTGTTGGGTGAATCTTCCAGCTTCCATTCCCTGAACCAGATTCCCGGGTTCCCTTAATGAGATTCCCTCAAAAAAACTTCAGTTCTCTAGCAAAACCACAGCACCACCAGAACCCAGGAATTTTCCCGGGTTTTCCCGGCTAATTCCCGGCTTTTTCCCGGATTCCCGGCTTTGATTTTTTTAAAAAAAAGTTGTGATCTTTGATGGTTTTTTGCAAAACTATCAGGGAACACGTTGGAATGGCACCCAGCCAGTCATCCACGCCCTCACTTCCGCAATGCCCGTGTCACATCCAGCAGGCCAGCACGCTCTGCTAAGCCGCCATCCTGCGCGGAGCCGCAGATTGACCGCGATCCATCGATCGATCGATCATGCGCCAACATATAAACAAAATATAATCCACATATAATCCATATATATATATAGACATCAAACAATATATATATACATATATCAAACAATTTATATCATCACTAAACCGAGAATCCGAGAAACCGAGAATCCGGGAATGCGAGAAACCGAGAATCCGGGAATCCGAGAAACCGAGAATCCGGGAATCCGAGAATCCGGGAATCCGAGAAACCGGGAAGTCAGGAATCCGGGAAATTTAGGAATGAGAAGCCGGGAATCCGGGAATTTATACATCCATGTATCCAGGAATATATATATATATATATACAATCCATATATCTATATATATCTCGGACATGTATTTGTGAAGAACCTGTTTGGAACCTGTTTGGAACCTGTATATATGGTATTAATTGGAACCTGTTTGGAATGCATCTTTTCTTTTGAAGATATATACAGCACCATGCATGCCCAAACAAGCACTAGCTGTCCTTGAGGACAGCCTTCGACATAGGTGTTGACCGAGCCGCCAATGCTTTCCTCAGATCAAGTTAAGCACAAGTATAGAGCTATACCATATACCCATACTCAAGTAGTTTCATAACTGTCGCATGCGCCCTGCACACCCATACTCAAACACCCATATATGGTCACGACGCATGTACATATATGCTGATGAGTCTCGCAGTGTCTTGCACACAGCGCTTCACATCGGATTGATAGCGCTCCCATAGTTGAGCGACCGCGTGCCCAAACAATTTTGGGTAGTACTGGCTTGCTTTCAAGCCGGGTCCTCCTTGTACTCGATGGTGCCCTGAAGAATCAATATACCTTGGACGCCAATTTAGGAGAGGTCTTCAATTCTTGTGTCCTCTCAACCCTCTTCAAAAGCTCTTGGCATGTGTAGAGGGTTCATGCAAACAAAGTTACTTGATGCTGATGTCTCCATCCCATTCTCGGTCTGAAGGGAGCGGCAAGTAAAGCTCTTGGATCCATTTGCAGCTGCTGTAGAGAAGTGTGCCCTTCGGGCCTCGAGGAACCAAAGTTAAAGTAAACGCGTACTACATGGATGCAAATGGGGACACTCATGCCATATGCACATGTAGAGAGGTGTACCCTTTGGGCCTCGAGGAACAAAGTTAAAGTAAACCCGTTGTGTATGGGGACACTCACGCAATGGCCCTTTGGCTCCTAAGGTTGTGGACCACAACTCAAGGCTGTTCGACAAGGCGCTGCTTCCGCCATATGAGCCAAGCCAAACGAAGACCTGGGCGACGTTGTGGGTTTGCTTGGGGTCTCCATGCAGAGGATGTCAACCTCCTATATCACTTGTTGCGAACACTGCTCCTATACTCTAGCTACTCTAGCTGTGACATTTGGTTGTTTAGCCAGGCCACCCGGTAGACAGTAAACTTTGCGCAGATCCTCTGGAAGTCAGGGTGATATTGCAGAAGGGATGATCCAGGCTGCTCCAGTATCCACGGCAGGCCAAGGCTGCAACATATGTAAATCATAATGCAGCAGCGGGTGACCATCCGATTCCTTAGATACACTTCTATCACCAAATGTGTCCCGCATGCATAGACATATATTTATATGAGGACATATGTGCGCATGGATTCTTTCTGTGTGTTTTGCGATCACTGCCCATGCCTAGCTGCAAGGCTTAATGCCTGTAGACCCCCGTGCTATGCTCTTTGCATAGAACCCAAAGGAAAGAGCCAGCCCCACTCTTGGAAGTTGTCACCCCTTATTGTTGAGACCATATGGAAACAGAATCACTGAGGGGGCTGGCGCATCAAAAAGAGCTGAATGTCCAAACGGCTACAATAGGCCCTGTGTGTGAAAGCCGCGACACTGGTCAATCAACACATCCGGTTGGAGGTGAATCAACATGTAACATGTTACCATCATACAGCTCGGTTGGCCGCGTGAACACACACATCTAAGGCCTAGCAGCCTAGCATCCATGGAACATTTACTTAACGTCCACCTACTCACGTGCCATCCCCATCAAGACCTGCGCCTTGTCCCAGGCAGATTGGACGTCATCCTTTGCAAAGGAAATCCTGGGCATTGCAGCAAACAGGCTTGGCAAAATGGCAAAGGAACTTCCGGAGCATTGCACCAAGCCAGTCCCAAGTGAAAAGCTTTTTTGGACAGGTTTCAAAACTACTTCATGAAACAAGACTCGATTTGGCAGCCTGACCGGTAAGCAACTTCCCAGCCACATCGGATTTGGGTTTCAAAGCTTGCTGGCGAAGAAGCACTTCCACCCGAGCCTTCGAAGCTACCCACCTTATGGCGTCGTTCATAGGTCATTCAATTGGTAGTAAACATGCACCCTAAAGTGTTATGCTCACCCTTCACAGTAACATAAACCCTGTATGTTGTTGGTCGAGAAACACTGTGTAGCTGTGCTGCCCATGTCGACCACTGGTTGGCTGAAGAGCACGAGGCATAGACAAAATCAGGTTACGATAGTCGGTATGGAAGGATTCCAAAACTTCATCCTTGGTCTTAGATGATTCTGAATGTTTCTTTTCCTTCTTCTGTACTCGAACCCTTGGACTTCGCCCTCCGCTTGCGTGTCGGAGGTGGCAAGTGCACTGGTGATGGCGAATCCTCCTCGTCACTCTCCTGCTTGCTTGGTGCCTGAGAAGGGCTGGCGGTAATGGTGGACTCTCGAGGATGAAGGTGACATCCAAGCAGGTCTCGAATTTACATATTGAACAAACATGGTATGTGGGAATTTGACTTGACATATCACTTTAAACAACAAACTGTTGCGTTGCAACCAGTTCCTGCGGGTTGAAGAGAACCAAAGCATGGTTGTGAGCATGGCGAGTCGGTGAGGGCTCCGCATCTTTGGAATCATTGTCTGAACCGTCGGCCTCCTCGTGTGGCACCATCGCCTAGAGACACCATGTAAGTTTTCCACTAGACACAAAACAATTATTGGTTGGCAAACAAGCAGCACTGACAACTTAGACCCTGACATGATGGTCCCGTGGGTCTTCAACTTCAGACTCAGGGGCAGGTTCTGAAGAGGTTGACTTGGAGGTGTATGCTGGACGATCTGGTATTCCAAAGAAGTTCTCTGGGATAGGATCATCCTCCGAACTGTTTCCATCGTCCCCACTACCGCCCAGCTGGTCAGTTTCAGCGTCCAGCCCTGGATCATCAGCGCTGTGATTGCGCATCAGATCCTTCAAGACCTGTACCCAAGCATTGCGGCTGCTATGCTTGGAGTTCTGCCACTTCCTCAAGCAATAGCACTCATCCCCCCAAACTAAATATACTCTACCAGAGACTCTACCACGCATTTTCCAATGTGTTTTACAATCATCCTTCTTAATCTCTGCAAACTTCACTTGATTGAGCTGTTGAACTCATGTCCTTCGAAGCCCAGACCATAGTTTCTGGATCTTGCTCAGGATCGACTCCAGCATGGTTTCATAGTCCTTACGCGTTGTTTCAAAAGAAAGACAATCTGTTAGTTGCTTCTTCAAAGAACTCATAACACCTCTAAACACAGACAGGCAGACCTGATACACCTTTGATACACCTCTCTTTTCACCTCTAAATACAATACAGCTGCATGCAGGGCTCATTGTGTGATAAACAACTTTCCCACAACCGAGGCACATGATCGCCGCACTGGCGGATTGCAAGGCCCTGCCGGTTGGGAAATGCTGGGATGTGTTGTAAGGTTTTTGTTTTGAAGGTCACCTCAAGAAGCAGGCCTTGAACTGTTCATTGAACGATGTAAGCACAATCTCCAGCTCTGGTTTGGAAGGCTTCCGGGATTGAAAGGGCACAAACTTCAGGATGCAATGGATAGCCCAAAAGTTTTTGATCCTTAGAGAGGTCATAGATTCATCGGGTTGGTGTGTTCACTTGTTCAACCTGAAAACACTTGACATCTTCCTTGGAAAAGAAATCTGAGTGCAGCCTAATCTCAGCAAACGCTCTCGCGTCGGCTTCTTTCCAAACCTCCCCACAATCAGATCCCCTACCGGGTCTGGCAGCGAAGTGATAGCCTCCGCAACGACCTTTTCCGGGACAGCTTTTGCAAGGTCAATGCCAAGTAGCTGCAAGGCACGAACGTACTTAGTGGCTCCTTTATTTGGAGCACATGACTGCCAATCCCACCCTGGCGCGCTGCTGTGCGTCTCCGAAGTTGATGACTCTGAATCGTACTCCAAGCCACTGCAAGGCATATGGGCAAAGGCAAAAAGAACAAGTCTCACAAGGCTTGATGGGTTTGGGCAAACCTGCGGTCACTGCAACTGTTGGTGAAAGCCTTTCATTATGAATACTGCTTAAAGTCACTGACAGATGCTCACTGTCCTTTTTGGTAAGCGTTTGTCTCACTAACTAACAGCAAACCAAGTGTCGCATCT